GTGTGACATCCTAGATGCAGAAGAACAATGAATAGGCTCGCTTAAGGTGAAGATTGACCTTTGGTAAGGAAGCTATAGGCCTGGGACTATCCACCATGACCTGACCAGTCAGGAATTTAAAATCGGACCATCCTGTGTGGTTGCTTTCAGTTCAGAGCTGGTCCGACCTGCCATGTAGCCCCCTCAGCTTGTCAGACTTGCCGCGTGCTGCAGATTAGATGGTACAGTCCTTTCCCTGCAGGCTGGCTTGCTGGACCTCCCTGCTCCTCCCTACTCATTCCCAAGACTAATCAATCTGTGTGATGAAGTGATGAGATGGGCCAAGATGTCTCCAAATTAATGTGCTTACTGAACTCTATCATTGCTTATCTGTCTCATCTTAATTTATCCCATTAATGATATTGATAATGGCACTTTCTAACCTTGATTATCAGCGGTACGTTGCAAGGGTTTAATAAACGTTTGTCAAACTGAATGAATGACAGATGGATGGGCGATATTCGGGAGGTATATGGACTCCTTGTAACCTCCCCCTCATCTAGTCTAATAGGTGCTCTGCTCTGCTCTGAATAACAAATGCACCTGAAGTCTTCTTTGCTAATCTCTCAAGTGCTTACATCAAGATATTGCTTCATAGTCATCTGATAAACATCAGTTATCTTTTAACTCAGGTATTTCAAGACCTTATTCAATTGTAGTTTATTCCTTCAAGCCTTCCTTGACAATGTATTCTTCCCCTCCCCCAGAGCCTCTCTCAGAATTGACTGTACAGAAATAGAGTGTCACTATAAAATTAAAAGCAATGTGGATAAACCAAAAGCTCTCTTGACTCAGTCTTCCCTTTTTGGTTCATTGGATCATTCAGACTGTTTTTTTACTAACAATTTATTTTGGAAATACTTCCATGTGAGTACATACATGTACCCATCTCTACACAAGATATATTTGCTGTGGAGAATTTCCCGATATAGGTGTATTGTAGTTTGCTTACTCTTCTGCTGTTGATGGATATTTTTTCCTCAAATATTTTGCAATAATAGTGCCACAATGAGTATCATTTTATATGCCTCCATATGCATAAATGCCAAGTATTTCACTTCTACAGAAATACCTAAAAACAGAAGTCTGAATAAACGGTGTGTGTATGTGTGTGTATATATATATATATATATATATATATATATATATATAGTTTCTGTATAATCTTGACATGTTTTTGTATTTGGAAGTTTTTTGTTCTTCTATCATGCATTGGTAAGAGTCCTTTGTGTATTTTGAAGAATAATCCTTAGTTTGAAATATATATACATACACATATCAATAAAAAATGTATGTGTGTATATATATATTTTCTCCCTATTTGAAAAATTTGCATATTTTGTCTTTAGTCACAAAAATTTCATATTTTTGTGCAATCAAATTTTACCATTCTTTGTAGTTTCTGTCTTTCTCAGGAAGACTGTTCATATGTCATGCTTTTACATATTCCGTGTTTTTGTTACCCTACAGTTTTATTTTTTACATTTAGCTGTTTAAATTACTTGGAACTTAGTTTTGTGTATGTTAGAGGGTATTACCTAATTTTCTTTCTTTTACCAAATTGAAAGTCAATTGATGCACACTATTTATTAAATAATAACCCATTCATCCTCATCCCCAAATTGAAATGAAATTTTTTATGAACTAATTTTTAAATATGTTCATGAATTTGTTTCTGTACTTTGTAGTAAGTTTGCTTGATCCCTTTGCTTATTTCTTGGTCAATTCCACACTGTTTTGGTTACTATAGCTTTGTTGTATGTTTTGGTATTTTATAAGGAATCAATTGTTTCTTAGCTGTCTATCTTCTATTAAGTGTTCAATGGACAAGACTGAGTCATAAGTGTCTTTATATGTCAAAAATCTTTTCCATAGTTTACACTAATGTGTGAATGATGGAAATGAATAAACCCAGAAGCTCTGGGTGTTATTGGTGCTACACTTTGCATTCCCAAAGTCTCAAAGATCATAGTGAAAAATAACAACTTTCCCAGTTTTACTCCACTTCCTGTTGTAGATCATTACTTCAATGAATTATTTTCTAGGAATCTTATGACTATTATTTAATTTGTTTTTGACTAAATAATGCACCTACATTATACAAACCCCAAAAGGTACAAAAGTGAAAAGTTAAGTCTCTCCTCAGTTCTTAAGAGGCAATTATACTTTAATCTTCCAGGATGGCAGTATATCATCCACTTTGTTCTGCATCTTGGTATTTTTATTTAACAATATTTTTGGAGATTATTCCATATTAGTACATATGATGCTGTTCCATAAGGCAGTTGTGCCATTTTATCTAACGAGAATGGCAATTCAGTTGTTTTAATAAATACCCTTTATATGCATAATATTCCCCAATATGTAGAATAAAAGTTCTGCACATGAAATTGGTGGGTCAAAGGGTATTTCAATTTTCAGCTTTATTTATATTAAATTGTCCTCCGAAAATTGTCTAGAAACTTCATGAAGGAAGACCCCGATGGCTCTTGCCACCGGACTTCAGACTTGCTCAGACGTGCGTCGAGGAACACGGGGCACCCACAGCAACCCCAGCAGGGGCCCCGACCACCGGGGGAACCATGTGCGTATGTGCGCACGTGAGTGCATGTGCGTGTGATATACACATGAGAAGACGCTTGAGGAAGTCAATGGATTAGAGTCCTGTGTAAAGCTCTAATAATTAGTGGAAGTGTTAGTTGTTTGAATAAAGCTCCTTTGACTTTATTATTCCTTAGAAACTAGTGTTAAATGATTGGTTTGAATTTCACAGGCTGATGCTGCTAATCAAAGAACAGAGCATTTCTTAAGGTCATAAATTATTATTCTTCACAGCAAGAGCATAAGAGAAAGTTGGTTTTATGAATTACTAACTGGGATACTAGCCTCCGTTTGGGTCTTGGGCTGATTCAGAGGGAAGGAGGCTCTTAATCATGTCTTGAACCTGGAATGCGTCTTGCAGATCGGGCAGGGCAGAATTTCCTCAAACTCACAATACCTACCTGCAGCCAGCTGGAATAAGTGGCCCAGCCCATATTAAACAGCCCCTCATTATCCTTGTTGGCAAGAATACATGCCGTTGAGCTGGAAAGAGAATTTTTTCTAAGCAGGAAAAAAGCCTTTGCCTGTGGAACAGGAGGCTATTTTTGCTATGTCCTCTTAGGGAGTTGGTGCTGGGTTTAGAATGCGTGCCTCCCCTCTCCGCCCATCTCATTCCTACCTGCTATGCCGTATTTCTCTCCCTTCTCTCCCTTCTGCCTCCACTCATGTCTGTCTCTCTGGCGGGGGAGGGGGAGTGGTGGTTCTCTTTCTCTGGTGTGTCTTTCTCCACACAAACAGAAAGAAACAAAACACCAAGCTCTCATTTCTCCTTTTCACATGATAAGGGCAGACATAAGAAGAACCCTTACATGGGCCTTTCTTCCCTTTCCTTCTAGGACCTCCTCCCCGGTTTTTGAAGTGTCTCATGGCTCTGGTTGCCCCAGTGAGAGGAGGAGGCTGCCCCATCCTTCTTTGCATGGTTGTCCCTTCCCTGGCACGTCCTTCCAGCCTGGCACAGCTCTCTGCTCGGTCATCACTGAAAGATGAGGTGGACTGCCAGCCTCTCTGGGCTCTTCCGAGGTCATAGGATGGCTACATCTCCTTCCGTTACCTTTCCAGGGCTGCCTCGTCTGTCACTCCAAGTACAAGGACTTAGAATTGCCAATTGGTACAGGGAAAATGCCTTAAAAAAATTAGCCAAAAACAATCATACCGTATAACAAAATTTTATTAGGATTAGGTCGAATTAGAAAACTCCATGCTTTACCATTTGCTACAGTTTCCTGGAATGACCAGATTTATACTTAGCTGAGTATAAAACAATCTGTGCCCCTGGATTCTACAGTATGGAAAACAAGAAAATCAGTGTGCATAGCAGTGTGCTTGACACCACCATGGTTCATGTTTAAGGCCGGACAACTGGTCAGCGAAGCATGTTACTTACAAGCTCTGGACCTGAGGAAGACAGCATTTTTACCTCCCTGGAGAAGACTCAGTAGCTTGGGTACCTGAAGCCAGCTTTTTGGAGTCTAGAATTAACATCTGCATTTCAAGAGAAGCTAGGCTTGAGGTATATTTATAGCTTAAAGGCACAGGTCATGCAGCTGAATTAAAGGCCATTGTGTTGGTCTCTGCCATGGGTCAGGAGCCACGTCTTGTAAGGGGGAGTGCTGATGCTGCCTCCCTCCTCGACTCCGTGGTGTGGCTTGTGTGTCATCATCTTCTGTTCCTCTCGTTCTAGCTCCTGCTAAGCAGCCGTGAGGGTTGGAATCTGAGGACAGGTTGGGGCTCCTGCACTGCCTCCTGCCACATGGAGAGTAATCTCTACTGTAGAATCTCATAACCCATCATGCAGAGGGGACTCACTAAAGACCCAAGAGTGACTCAAATGCAAGCAAGGACAGACAAACTCATTCCTCAGGTGACACATCGTGTGGGGAAAAGGAACTTGTCTTCCCATGAATGAGGTCCTACCAAGCTGGAAGGTAGACTGCCTTTAGTGCAGGGTATACCCAGCTGGGACCAGCTCCTTCTTTCAATAGGAGAATCTGCAAAAAGGACACCAGTGAGCATGTGGCACAGGTTCTACGAGTCAATCGGCAGTGGTTTCAAGCACTTAGCTGTGCTCTGCAAATTGCCCTGGGATCATTAAGAGTGAATGGGAGTCTAGGTCCTAAAAATATAAAACTGGTCACTTGCTAAATATCTGGGCATTCCCTTCAGCTTTGAAGCAATATGTCTATGCTCCGAAACTCTTTTTCTTACTTTTAAACTCTCCCTACTGAAGGAACTAAACTCCAGAATCCAAGTGAAGGGCCTGGGTGGCTGCATATAGAGAAGAAACACCTGCAGACAAGCATGGGTATTTCATTCTCACACCAGCTAGGCTCCTGACCCCCAACCCTCTTCACCTCCCCCACCCGCCCAATTCATTAATGAAAATGGTTGCTGTCAAAACTTAAATTCAGTTGCATAATAGAGAGGAACCATAATAAATTCTCATTTCTTCAGGCACCAGAGGGTACATATGACAAAGGTTTGATTCTCTCCAGTTTATGATCTTAATACATTTCCCAGTCTCTGTGCTGCCTCGTCATCTTGGCTTGCATTCCTCAGCGAGCCCTGCATGACTCGTAATTAATTTGCACGGTTCATGGACATTAATTCTGCTGGGATTGACCTGGAGTTTGCTCAAGTTTGAGTTCATAGCCTCCTAGGCCAAGGTCCCCCTCATAAATGTTTTCCTTCTTTGGAGTCTGGGGTGAAGATTTCTTGTCCAGACCCAGGCTTGCAGGAGGACTGCAGGGTAAGGAGGATTGCTCCTGGTAACTCATGGCCAGCTCGTCCTGATTTACAATGCATTCCACGTCATCCTCCTTTAGCTGTTCCTGGAATTTTGGAGGGAAAGATTGGGGGGGGGGGGGGGGAGAGAGAGAGAGAGAGAGAGAGAAGTCACTTCATGCTGAAGGCGGAAAACAATAGCAGTCCTACCATGTAAGAAAAGAGGGTGTTTGTTTTCCTTTTTCTAACTGCCTGCTCTTGCCTGGGCTGAAGTTTCTCCTGCAGCAGATATTGCCTTTTCCATCTTTGTGGGCATGATGAAGCATTTCCCTGAGTTGGCATTGAAGACTTGACACCATCACACCATCTCCTTGGTTTAAGAGAGTTAAAACAAAATTCAATGGGTTTCTTGAATTGATATCTAAGGGCTTTGAGAGGATTTAGGAGTTAGCAGAATCCAATGATTAACCCTTCTTCCATTGGCTTCGAGAAAACCATGCAAAATTACTTGTAGAATGATCCCTGGTTAGGTGACCTCAGTACCCTGGTTTACAGGCCCACAGGTTTGTAGCTTGTGTGAGAGTCACTTGGAGTGCTTCTTAGAGCACAGATGCTGGACCCTAAATGCAGAGTGTCTGTGTTGGGACCTGATAGTCTGTCTTTGTAACAAGTTCCCAAGTGATGCTGAGCTGCTGGTCTGGGGACCAGGCTTTGAAAACCACTGCCTTCAACTGTTGAGCCCTGAGTGCATCTGAGATGCATTTTTCCATTTATACAAGGGGGCCAGTGGGACAAGCTGAACGGGTACCTCAAACACCACATTTCTGTTCTTTTGTAATTTCTGACACTCTGAGTTGCTGCTAATGATTCTAATTGCTTCTCAGCATTTTCAAATTCCATTCCTTTGAACTCTAAAGCACAGGCGTTATATGTTCAAAACCTCTAAACACAGCAGTTTGTGTGGACACATTACTTCTTTTACCTTTTCTAAATTCATTTTATGGTTAAAAATACTGGTAACAATAAAAAATTGCATTTTTCAAAGGAGTTTGAGCCCACGTCAGAAACAACTGAAAAGAAAAGAGAAAACCTTTGTGGTGCAGCACATTTTAAAAATGCTTCCTTTTCAGACTGGAAAGGAATAGCCCCAAGGTTCCTGGGTTCACCAATACTCGCCATGTCTGTCCAGCTCTGGACATTTACTCACCCCATAGGCCTGAGGACTGGTGAGCAGTCTGGAAATTGGACCGCACCATTCAGGTAATGTTGTGGTCAGCGGAGGACCAGAGTGGGTCAGAATTGGTTTCAGATATCTTTGAGGCCTGTTAAGGAATACTTGCCAAAAGGGAGTTAGCATTTAGTTTCTCATACATAGCACAGAACTTTACATGCAGTGAAAAAGACAATTCTGTTCATCTTTAAATCCTCTATTCCCTCATTGAGGAGACAATTTGACCTGCAAAAACTGGTGTTTATAACCTTTGCTCCACACACCTTTCCAGCCCTCCCAGAAGCCTTTAGTCATGAGGAAATGGAGGCTGGCCCAGCCAACGTCACAGCGATGTGTGAAATATTCCTCTCCTCCCCGTCCCACTCGACGTCATGTCTGCTTAGAGAATGTATTCTTAAGAATTGTCTTAAACAACAGCAAAAAAAATTGTGTTTTCTTAAAACTACATGCACAGCTTAAACCACCAGTAATTTTCACAAAGAAGCAAGAGGTATTTCATAAAATGTTCAGTCCTTTTAGAGTTGGGTAGTGAACATAGATTGTTTTCCAAAATAACTTTTTTTTTTTTCAATGCTCAACATAATCACTTCATGCTTCATACATCAATGCCTCTGTGTACAAAATTATGTTGAAAATCAGGTAACAGGTTTATTCTATTGGCCAGCACCTGTCTTTCTCATCTCTTTCCCCCAATGTGCGCTATGAGTTAAAAGGAAAACCTGTTCATCTAAAGCCATTATGCTTCCCTCCAATCCAGCAATATTGAAATCCCCAGGGGCTGTCTCACATTGCCTTATCATTATTGTTATTATTTTTCTCAAAGATAAGTAGTCAAATCATTTCACTGTTCTTTCAGAGACAATTTTTAACCTTTAGATTATCTCCTCTGCTGGAAAATATTTTATCTCATCACCTTCCTGAAAAGCTTTAATACATAGAGAAAGGGAAACACGGAAAGTGGTTAACAATGGTTGGCTGGTACAGATCTGCAGCCACCCTCAGGCACTCAGGGAACCGCAGATCTTGGAGATGCTTCTGCTGGAATCCATCCGTAGCTGGACAGCGTGACTCTCGTTCTTGTGGTACCTCGAGCGTATGAGGACAGAAGGAGGATGCAGCCCACGGGGGCCAGCAATCTGGTTGCCTCTGGCTTCAGTCATTTGCCACCAAGGTGGTGACAAACAAAGGCCCAGCTATGATGCCAGGAGAGTGACTGAAAAGGTGCCTAAGAGGGTCTGTGGTTTCAACTGCAAATGGAAAACTTGATGGCTCCTTTCAGATGGGCACCTGTTGTTCTCGGCTAAGGACAAAGGGCGATGTTACAGTTCAGAGCCTGACATTCGCACTAACATCTTGAAAGTATATCTAGAACTCTGGAAAGCCCTTGATGATCTTCCATTAATATTCATTAGAGTGTTATTTTCTTCTTTTTATGGGTGAAGGAATTAAGGTTTAGAGATATAATGATTTTAAATAATCCAAAGGTTCCCTTTGCTGTTTGGGTTCACCAGCATCATCCCTGGTAGAAGTTAATTTTTCAGGGCAGAATCACGCATGTGACCAGCTGCTTCTCTAGAGAGAAACACTCGCAGACCTCTCCCCTGGGGGCGATCTGCAGACCCTCCACACAGTGGCACATGAAGACATCTGATTTTATTAGGGTTGATGGTGTACATGTCAGTGAAAAATGCTTTTTGAGGGAGGTGAGGAGGACAAGATATATGTACAACCTGAGTGAAAATCAAGGAAAATCCAGCCAATGATATTTGCAGATGGAAAAGTGATGGCAAGTTAGCAACATTTCTGGAGATGCCATGTATAGCTGTAACTAAAAGAATAGAATGAAACTCCAGATTTGATTTTAAAAAATGAAATGTTTGATATTAGGAGAGAGAGTGAGCATAATTTGCCAGGAGGCTCAGAGTTCTATAAAATACTCAAAACAATAATGTAAAAACAATAAACCTTTTTCTATGCTAATGGTGTCTAATTTCTTCTTCAAGCTTTATTTTAACCGACCTATAGTTTTTACTGAGATGTAAGATTAAGATGTTAATTATCTTCACAGAATTGTGACTCTCTAAAGATATATCTAAGCTAATAAATCCTTTGTTCTCACAACTGCTATATTAATAAAAAATTCAAATATTGAAAAACAGAAACAAAAACAAAAACAAACCACCCAAAAACAAAAACAAAACACAGACATTTGTCAAGTCTCTACGGGGAGACTGGGCAACTTCCACTGTTTGAAATACTCAGTAAACTGAAAAGTCAAAATGTCAAAATAATGTTACAAAAGTAAAATACAAATTTAGAAATGTGTAATAGACATTTTCTTCTTTCAGTCCTGATGGGATGTCTCTTTGACTCTGTGTACACTGTTAGCGGAGCTAACACCAAAGGATGAAATTTGTAGCTTTCTGTGAACGTGAAGCCTGGACCAAACAGGGTAGCATTTGTCCCATCTGGACAGGCTCTGGGGTTTTTGATGCCGAAGTTCTGGGCATAACTGCCAGCTGTGCCGCTTTACTGACTATATGACCTGTGAGCTGGTTACTTATCTCTCTGAGCCTCAAGCGTTGTTGTGACTATTAACCAAAATAATGTATGTAGATATGTAAATGTGGTTTTAAACTCTTTCATGCTATTTAAATGATTTTTATTTTATTTAAAAAATGTATTTGCTAAGCAATACTTTGAGGAGAAACTGGTGTCTCAATCATTGTTCGTATAATGGTGGGAAATGATACTGAGGGTAGAGAGAACATGACACTCCAGGCGTTTGGTGTATAATAGGGATTTGTGGGGCTGGTTAGCAGGTAGAAAATTGGGCTGCCTCCACACAAGAAGTAGTTACTTGGGTTAAAAGTCGTATAGGGAGCTAGCATGAGGTAGTAGGTGAGAGGTGGGGAGAATTTTTTTGAGGTAATACCCTTCTAGGGTATACCCTTCTAGGAAACTAGGAAGGTGCCATTTTGGCTGTTCTGGCATCTCAGTGGCTGTGAGTCGAAGGAATGAGGCATTCTGTGTGGCATCAGTGGAATGGGATGTGCAAAGCACCATCCGCAGTCACAGAGGGTGTGGAGGATAGTGTTCTCCAACAACTGGATTTGTCCAGTACTTCCATATGTTATGTGCTCACTGGACGTTTGTTGAATTTATGAATGAGGGAGGTATTCAGGGGTGGTATGAACGATGAAAGTAGGCTGAGTAATATGCAAGAGAAGATTGAAAGGGGTAACTGACAGCCAAGGAATGAGGTTTTGCCTGAGGATGAAGGCTAAGAAAGGCCAAGCTGAAGAAGGACTTCTTGGGCTTGAATGATTAGACAAAGGACACCAGAGTGGTAATGGCATAAATAAAGTGGTTAAAAAATAACCTTTGTGTTTCTTTCACTCCCTCATTCATCTATTCTTTCGTACCTCACTTGTTTTTATGTTTGTTTTATGTGCTAAACCCCTGAGGCACCTGCTGAAGGAAATGAACAATCACCTTACAGAGTGGAAACGCTCTGGTCTCTAGACTGCGGTCTCCTTCAGGGCAGGGCTGTCCTGTTCACCTGGGTTCGGTGCTTGGCACATTTTAGGTGTTCAATAAATAGCTGCTGAATTAATAAAGACAATAGGCTCAGAGGGAGTTAAAGAATTCATTGTTTGATGGGATCCAGTCAGTTGATTAAAGACAGACCTGGGCCTGAGATTAGGGACATTTCCACCACACCGAGATGTCTTCCTCCTGTTGTCGAGACCCTGGTCACAGGACTTGCCTGACTGGATGACTGATTTGGGATCCAGCAGTCAGCGACTTTCCAGTTCTTCATTGCTGAGCAATGTCTGGAAAGTGGCTGGATCTTCAGGGTTACCTGAATTATTAAAAAGAAACTTCTTTTGATCTATGAAAAAAATCTCAACTGCAGATTTTGCAAAATGTGTGTGTGTGTGTGTTTTTTTCCATCAGGTTCTAGTACATGTTTGGGAGGGAGATTCCCCACTGGGTATTTTTGGTATGGTTAGTTTTGCTTCTCTAATAAGCTAGGAACGCATCAACACGAAATGTTAACCTCTGGGGGGGGAAAAACAATGACTTTTCTCATTTTTAAAGGGCACAAGTTTGGAAATAGCACCTTGGTTTGGGAGATGTAAGTAAAATTTGGAACTCTACCCAGAATTTAACATGCATGAAAAGGGAAAGACAGCAGAGACATATTCTCCTTTGGCCTGAGCTGTCGGCAGGTCCAGAGCTAAATTTAGTGCTTAACTGAACTAACATCCGAACTACCTGGTAACATTGCTTTCTCTATCTCTCATTTGTTAGTTTCTGTTTTGATTATTTTAAAACTGCATGTTTTGTCCATTGTAAGTTGCCAAAACCAATGCCTATAGTCCTATGCATATTGGTGAGAAGTAAAAACCCCAAGCAAAGGTCAGTTCCACAAAAATGAACATATTTTTAAGGGGATTAAACTTCATTGCTCCTATTGACTAAATGTTTGCATCCTCCTAAAAGGCGGTGAAAGTCCTACCTCAACAGAATAGATGGTATTTGAAAATGGGTCCTTTGGGAGATGATTAGGGTTGGAAGGATCATGAGAGTGGGGCCTAATGATGGGATTAGTCTCTTGTGAGAAGAGACATTGGAGAGTTTGCTTATGCTCTCCCCACATGTCCACACAGAAGAGGTTGTGTGAGCGCACGCACAATGGGGCGGTGGCTCTTTGCAAGCCTGAGAGAGTTCTCACCAGAGCCCAACCGTGCTGGCACCTTGATCTCAGACTTCCAGCCTCCAGAACGGTGAGAAACAAATTTCTGTTGTTTAAGCCACCCAGTCTCTGGTATTTTGTTATGGAGGCCTGAGCAGACTAACACACCTTCACTCTGGCCCTCTTTAAAGGTCTTTGATTTGAGAGCCCTAAAGAGCTATGTTCTATCTTGGCTTTCTCTAAATTTGCCTAATTATAAAGATCATTTTGGACAGTTGTTAAAAATCCAGATTTCCAAGTCCTCCCTTGGAGACTCTGACTCAGCAGGTCTTGGAGGTGGCCTGGAACTCTGTTTTTTTTTTTTGTTTTTTTTTTAAGTA